AGCTTTCCTTCAGATGCTGAAGATGAATTTTATGAAGAACATAAGGAGAAAATTATTGTTAAAAGGAGGAAAAAAGCCCTGATATTTGATTCAACTGTCAAGAAAATAACCCGGGAGTTGGGGCTAATTTTTGAGAGTGTTGATAATTTTAAGTTGGTTGTTACTAAGTATGCAAGTTCAAATTGAAAAGTATATTAATGAACATGGTAGGGTGAGGGTAAAATGCATGCACCCAAAATGTCCATGGCTATTGGCTGCAAGCAAAGATGGCAGATCCAACAATTTTAAGGTAATAAAGTATTGTCTTATCCACAAGTGTTACAGAACAAACAAAAACAAGCTCTGCAACTCGAGATACCTTGCAAAGCATTACAGGGATAAGATTGTGTCTCAACCAAATATGAAAGTTTGGGAGCTGAAGAAACTCATTAAGGATGAACTGGACATGTGTGTTGGTAGATCTACTGTCTATAGAGCTAGAGCAAAAATTCTGAAGGAGATATTAAGTGATGTGCATGTTGAGTTCAAGAGACTCTATAATTATAGAGATATTCTGTTACAGACAAATCCAGGTACAACTTGTGTTGTGAAGGTAGAAGATCAAGGTGAAGACAAGATTGTCTTCAATTCATTTTATGTGTGCTTCTATGCTATGAAAAAAGGATGGTCTTAAGGTTGCAGAAAAATAATTGGCCTTGATGGATGCTTTTTGAAAGGCATTTGTAAGGTTCAACTGCTTGTAGCAGTTTCAAAGGATGGCAACAATCAGAAGTTCCCTATTGCTTGGGCCATTATAGAGTGTGAGAATAGTTTCACTTGGACATGGTTTCTGAAATGTGTGACTCATGACTTAGAGCTTCAAGATGGAAGGGATCTCACTATCATGTCTAATATGTAAAAGGTGTTTTCATTACTGTCAATATTTAATTTTTCTTATTTCTATTTCTGTTGGTAACTAATATATTCTTCTTATGTTACAGGGATTGCTTAAAGCTGTATCAGAAGTGTTGCCTGAAAGTGAACATAGGTGGTGTGCCAGACATATATTAGCAAACTAGTCCAAATATTGGAGAGGATTAGAAAGGAGAAACAACTTCTGGAGGTGTGCTAGAGCATCATGTGTGACAGAATTGAATTTTTACCTGGACATCTTGAATATGCTTGGGAATGGGATATCTGAGAGTCTCTTGAGGTATAACAAGGAAACCTGGTGTAGAGCATACTTCAACTGTAACAGAAAATGTTATATAATTGACAATAATATGTGCGAGACCTTTAATGCTTGGATACTTGCTGCTAGACACAAGACAATCATTACTTGCAGTTAGACACAAGACAATCATCACAATGTTTGAGAAAATCAGAGTGAAGATGGTGGAGAGAATAGGAAAGTTGAGGGAGTTTGCAGATACATGGATATGTGATATATCCCCAATTGCTATGAAAGTGTACCAGGATAACATGGCACAGTCTATGAGGTGTACAATCAAATAGAATGGTGAATATAGCTATGAGGTTGAGGATACCTCATTAAGAGTGGTATTGAAGCACTGTGTGAATATGCAAACTCAGACTTGTACCTGCAGGTCATGGATGCTGAAGGGTATCCCTTGTGCTCATGCAATTGCTGTTATGCACTTCAAGAACATTGAGCCAATTAACTACATATCTCACTGGTACCACAAATCCACTTATCTGAAGGTATATTCAACATTTATCCAGCATGTGCCAAACATGCAGATGTGGCAAATATCTACCAATCCACTAATTGAACCCCCACCAATTTAAAAGATGCCTGGCAGACCAAAGAAGAAAAGAAGAAACTGAACATCCTAAGTCTGGAAAGCTTTCAAGAAGGGGTATGGAGATGACATGTTCAAACTGTGGTGGCTATGGATACAACAAAAGGAGCTTCCCCAAGAAATCAAGGCTTGCAGATTTTACTCCTACAAATGCTTCTTATAGAGAATGATGTGGAGGAAGAGGAAGTGGCAGAAGAATAGGAACAAGAACAACTGCTCCTAGAGCTTCAACTTCAACTACTTCTGCCCCTGCTACTGCTGGCAGAGGAAGAGGAACTGGTAGAGGTAGAAGAAGTAATACACCCTCAGCTTCAATTACTTCTTCCCCTGGAATAGGAAGAGGGACTGGTTGAGGTAGTGGAAGAGGAACTAGAAGTTCTGGATTTGGACTGTTTCAATCAAACAGTGGGTTCATAAGTTTTTCTGTAAGTACTTCAAACTTAACTTTATGTCTTGTTTCGTTTAACTTCTTTACTAAATATTTTCTATTTTGACAGTCTGGTGGTGAAAAGAGGTCCTCAGCAGATATTCATGAATGTGCCTACAAGCCAATAAGTGGAGTAAAATGGAATGGTAGACCAGCCATTACTAGAAGACAACTTGAAAGAACTGTTGCATCCCATTCCAGAACTGCTGCATCACATTCCAATCTAAGTCAAGCAAGTTCATCATCCCAGTCATCCAAGAACAACTATATGTAGTTGTGTATTGAATGTTGTTATTGTGACTGTTAAGTTATTTTGGAACTGTTGTTAGGTTATTTTGGAACTGCTGTTAAGTGGTGTATTCAATGTTGTTATTTTGTTAAGGCAGGCTGTTGTTATTTTGGTATGCTGTTAAGATGTCAACCTATATTTTTGTTAAGGCGGGCTGCTATTAGGTGACTGTAATGAACACCTTTACTCTATGATGATATGTGTTTTAAATTAAAAATTTCTGTGCAGATTCATCTCTTTAGTGTTACTACTTTAGTATTTCAGCATTTGAGCTGTATTTCAGCCAGAAATTTCAGCCACTATTTAACTGTGTAAGCAGTGTATTATCTGCATTTTCAGCTCACATAGCAACAACCACAAACCAAACAACATTAACAGTTACAAAATTTTTTATTCTTTTCTAACAAAGGGATACAAAATCCACCAAAAAGCTTCATTCATTTTCTTACATTATAGAGCAATCTTTAGAACTACCAAACACAATCAACTTCAATACAATTACAATTAAAATCAGCACACACAATCTCCTCCAATTTCTTTGATTCCTATTTTCCTTCAATAATGCATCAAATGCCCTCTTCTTCTTAAGCAGCCCAAATATCATAATTTTCAAGTGTTCTGGAGTTGGAGGATCAAACCACACAAAGAAATTACATGCCGAGCGACTGTCCCTCTGAAAATTGAAGAGAAAAAATTATCAAGGAATATAAAATTGATTATAAAAGTACAATTGATATTTACCTCATAAAATGGACATCCGTAAAATTGACGACCAGGATTATCAACACTCAATGGCTGTATCACCACAGCTTTTTCACCACAATAACAAATTTTTCTCAGATTATGCATTTCCCCTAACCCTAAAGTTGAAACCTAGAAATTGAACCCTAATATCGAAAAAGAGAAGGAAGAAGTAGAAGAAGATTGTAATATTGGCAACAAAAAAACACATAAGAAAATGTCAAGAAGAAGAAATTTTCTGCAACTTCGAGCTTTCAAGGAGGAAGATGAAGGTGAATACGGGTCCAATTTGAGAAGAAATGAGTTGAGGGCCCTTTTATTTGCTTAAAAATGGCCGTTGGGATTTGTTTCTCGCCGTTGATTTAAGTAAGAAATTGTCTGTTTCTACTGTCCATGCGCTTCTACCGTTTTGCGTTACACGCGCTTAGACCTGGTCAAAGGAGGTATGTACTAGATACACTTTAGAAAGATTGCGTGTGTAATATTATTATCGTCCATAGAAAGTGTGTAAGGGGGATTTGGACCATAGGTCAGGTGGCAACTTATGTAATTTGCCTTTATATAATGAATATTTTGCTTATTTAATCTTCTATATTGGGTTAAAATTATTATGAAGTGTTATGGAAGTTTCAATGCATCACATTCAATAAAAAGGATTGTACATGTGAAAAAAATAAATTGTGAACATTATGGAATTGCAATACTGCAATTTTAACATATTGGGGCTTAAATTAGTCAATTACAATTTTTTATGCAACTTCGGCGATTCGGAATAAGCAACACAAAAAACCGTATTAATTAGATTATAATATGGTGGTTTTCTAATGTTATTACGGCGATTTTGTTGGAACAGCCATAATATAATTTTGGCGGACGGGATTGTGGCGCTTTCAAAAGCCGCCGTTGATGTGTATTACGGCGGTTCAGGACCACCATTATATGTAAAAATAACCGCCATAAGAACTTAGTTTTCTTGTAGTGCTCTCACTTGCCACTTTCGGTAATACCTACGTCTTCCATGTACAGTCTACAGATGTGTGTGTACTTACACAAACACACATTGACACTCTAGTATATATCGTGTACTAGACTCTCACGTGCTTGGTTAATTTTACTGTCAAAAATAACATAAACATAGCAAACATTCTATACAAGTTCATATGCTCTTTTGTTCATTTATCAAGCTTAACTTTTCAATAAGAGGATTTAGTATAGTTCGACTAGTTTTTGTTGTCATCAACTTCCTCTTTTATCCATGCTCGTACTTTACTCTCCAAAATTTTTAGCTTGATTTATACCCAAGGGTGTGATCGTCAATGAAGTCGGGAGAACCATGAGGTCTCAGGTTCAAATCCTATCGGAGACAAAAACTAGTAGGTGATTTCTTCTCATAGGTCTAATCCTTGGTGGAGAGAGTTACCGACATTTATGCTGGTAGAAGGTAGCATATACGAATAAGTCAAGATACGTGCAAGCGCTGGACTTGACACCACCATCATTAGAAAATTAAGCTTGATTTACTTAACTAGATAAGGTTCATCCCAGCAAAGCAACAACAGAGATAGGATCTCTAGAAGTTTCTGGTTATATGTAAGTGTGTATCAACAGCCATTCCTTTAATTTATATAGAGGAAAATGAAATGGATTATGTCAACAAGATAAAGTTCAAAAAAATTACGGTTCATATCCCAGTTTGCAAATTATAAGGGGGATGACGAAATGAATTTGTATGCAACTAAGTGGAGCTACTGCTAAAGCATATACGATGATGTCTTTATTTACCTACTCCGTCTCCTGCAACTTGTGGTTTTAAATTTAGCAGCACTAGATATACTCTTTATTTTATTTTGAGGATCAATGAAGGATCAACCAAACAGGACAGTGTCAGCTTGAGGTTTTTAATATAGTATGATATAAGAATGAAGCAACTTCTAAACTATACTGTCTGCATTTAAATCATGGAGGATGCAAAAAGCAACAATTCCAGCGAAAAGAAGTATGATGTTGAAAATGGAAGCATTATTGGAGATAGCAATCGTGTTGAATTTTGTAACAACAGCAGCAGGAGAATTGTACCAGAACCAGTAGTGGCAGCTTCCATGGAAACAAACATGAATATTAATCAGACTTACCAGCTTCCCTTAACCAAAGCTAAGGTAATCTTTACTGTTTCATCTTCAATCTTCCAACAAATCACACCAAAGAATCTGGTCAATGAAGTAAGTAAAAACCATGTGTGACTAAGGTTGCAATCCTAGTAAAGATAATAAATGCTAGGATGAATTATACAATACCTATGTTGGTAGGAGGTACGAGGTATCTAGTGGAATAATCAATAAGTGCACAAGCTGCCCCAGACACCACTATTATAAAAATAATATATATCGATATATTCCAAAAGAAATCTCCACCAGTATAAAGTTCAAGGAATTGCAACTTGAAAGCAACAGAATCTAATACCTTTATTTTTATGTTACTACGTTATGCAAAGTTAGACAGAACTCTACTTAAGACTTGAAACTCATTCATGAGCAAACTGAGATTTTGATTATTTTTCTCAGAAATATCCAGCTGTGCAGACATTTCTGTTGGCTTACCAATCTCTTGGGGTTGTATATGGAGACCTAGGAACTTCTCCGGTCAACGTCTTTTCCTCTACTCGCTTGACAAATCTAACTGAAGATGATCTACTCGGAACATTCAGCCTAATCTTTTGGACTTTAACGTTGCTCGTGTTAGTCAAATATGTCTTCATCGTCCTCCATGCTAATGATCATGGAGAAGGCGGTACTTTTGCTCTCTATTCATATCTTTGTCGCCATATCAATCTTCGAAGCAAACTTACTTTCCACAGCGTTCGGATGGAGTCTGATGAGGGTATGGCACATTACAGCCAGGCCGAGAGTGGAAGTCCTCTGTGTTCAAAAACTAAGAAGTTCCTGGAGAGAAGTTCTGCAGCTCAAAATTTTCTGACTTTTGTTGTTTTGCTTGGAACTTGTATGGTCATTGGTGATGGAGCTCTCACTCCTGCTACTTGTGGTAACATTCTGCCTTTCTTTTTGTCTCCAAGTTATATTTCCTTTCTCTGCCTCATGTGCATACACTTGCTATATCAATGTTCCTTTCTACTATATATATCAGTTCTCTCAGCCCTCCAAGGAATTCAATCTCTCTCTCCCAAGATANGAAAAAGAAAGGTTCGACCTCGATCGAACGACGACGGGTTGTTATTTCAATAAGTTCAATATAACACCCTTCAAGGCCAAGGG